CGGTGATAGGCCGTCCCGTCGAACATTGCTGCATCCGGGTTGCCTGCCCGCCAGGCGCCAAGGCAGCAGGTAGGCAGTCCCGCAGAACAGGGCTGCATCCGGTTTGCCTACGCCCAAGGCGTCTGGACCTCAGCGTCGACGCTCCAAAAATTTAATTTGTGGGTTCGAATTCCGATCCGGTCGTCGTACGGCTCAGCAAGTGTTATTTTCATGTAACACTCGTAGCACTCCTTGTTCCAGCGACGCCTTAAAATCGAAAAAAAATGGTCGAGTCACGGGCTCTGTTTCGAGACTGAACGGCGACAGGGGCGCGGTGGCTGCTTCCCGCTGGGCTGGGCGTGCCGGCGGCGTGCCCGCGGCCCCCCGCGGCGGCGGCGCTGTTCGACACTCACTTGTCTAGGGCACGGCGCCGTGCTGCTCGCCGGGTCAGGGGGGCGAGCCGGGCGGCCCGGTGCGTGGAACACGGTGGAGCGAGTTTGTAGCAGGTGTTTGAGGGCCATTTCCTCGGCCCCCGACGCTCGGTCCCAGGGCCGAAGGGCCGGACCCATAAAGCGCGAGTGGAGAGCATTCCGGCCCCGCCAGTACAGTGTACACCCCGCTTTGACGAAGTTACGCGCGTTCCTCCGCGAGGGGCCGCAGTGCGGTGCGGCGCCGCCTTCCGAATGACCCTCCCCTGCCCTTCCCGCCCTACACTGGTCCGGCCGGCCGGCCGCGCCGCGCACGCCGCGGCACGCCGCCGAGACACACGGCACTGCCGGCACTGCCATACCGCGGCCATGCGGCCATACCGACCGCCTTAACTGCGGCCAGATCGCGCGCCGCAGATACGTGGGGCTGCTGGCTGGCCCAGTCTGGTACACACGGCTGCGGCCCCGCTCCGGCAACGGACAGAATTGTTCCAGTCCGGTACGGCGTACTGGACGTACACGGCGCGGTGTTGAGGCTCCAAAGTACCGCTGGGGTTTAAAGCGCCGGTAAAGGCTCGCCGTTGGCGTGTTGCTAGATTGTCAGGTGCAGGTTCGAATCCAGTATTTCCGCGAGGCTCGCGACTTTTTTTGGCCGGCGGGTTCCGGATGATCAGGCTGCAGAACGGCCTGGGCCGGCCTGGGCGGGGTGTTGCCCGGGGCCCAGCTGGACCTAGCCTGGCCGCGCCGGACCGTACGGCAAGCCAGGCAAGCCAGGCAAGCCAGGCACGCTGCACTGCTGCTGCGGTTGGCCGGTCGGTCAGCCGGTCGCTCTGACGCCCCCCCCCCCTGCCCGTGAAACGGTTAGCGCACGGTACTCCACTCCATCCATGAACAACCACAGCTGCAATAACAGCAACAACAAAAATGACAAGAGCCACAGGAAGGGCTGTGGGACTGACCGAAGCCTGAGCAGCCTCTGCAGCCTCTGCAGCCCACGCGTGTCGGCGGGCGAGTTCAGCAAACTGCCGTCAATGCAAATCAAAGCGCGGCGCGCTGGTCGATGGTAAGTAGCGCAACGCGGCCGATGGAACACACAAGCACCACAAGCACTGACCAGGCAAGAAGACACTTTGAAAAGAAAAACGCACCACACCGAGCGACAAACCCGTCTTCGGTCAGCGGCGAGGATCGGATTTGGCAACGCTGCGATAGTATTATGTTTTAACGACCCATCAGGGATGGCGCGCGCGCCGCGCGTCCTCCGGCCTCGTTTGTCGTTGGCCGTGTCCACGCCGACGTCTTGCACCGCGGGCAGGGGAGTCCCTCTCGGAAAATGCAATCATTCCGAAACGAGTAACGCCGCGTCTAAGAGTTTTCCACGAAGATGAATCAACGTGCCGGCCAGACCGAGCAGCCCGTCATTCCGAAGGAACGTCGCTATTTCTCTCTCTCACCCCTAGGGGACTCTCCTTGAGTGCGACAAAGACAGAGCGACGAAAAGAGCGTTCGGAATCACTCGGCAGGCACAAACTAATGACTCGCGCAGACGTCCCAGTGGAAGAAAGCTCGACCGGCACACTGATAATATGATGAATATTCCATTCCCGCGCAAAGACGAGGTCCATCGTTTCCGCTCGTGGAGGTTCGTTCACTGTCACTTTATTATTTATCGACTCCAGCTGCAATAAATAACCGCGCCAAAACAGCCGGGGAACGCGAACGCGACAAGCGGCGACTGACATACGCCGCGACGGACGGGGCGCGGACTCACCAGTGGGACACGTGCATTATTGTTGAGGTTGGGGTGGGACACTGTAACATCCACAAGGCGCTGCCAGGGCCCGGAGCAGCACTGGGCAGCACTCACACACACGCAACGCACTCGCACACACACGTCACACACACGCACACAGCGACACGTGAGCGTCGCGCGCGATGACACCGGCTCGGGGCGCGCAGTGGCAAGGGACAGGGAGAGGAAGAGAGGTGGAAATGAACGCGCGCCGCGGTACCCACACTGCTGCGGCTCGCGGCAGACTGAGGGCCTCAGCGGCGGCCCGGCCTGGGGAACCGGAGTCCCGGGGCGCGGGGAGGGGGAGGGGGCAGGGGCCCCGGGGCCCGGAGTAGCGGCGCAGCAGCCTAGCGGGACGATGTGTGCCGTGTGCCGCCATGAGAGGCGAGGCGGCGAGGAGGCGGGGCGGCCCAGTGCACCTGCAGATGCACTTGTCCCTGCGGTCCGTGCCTCTGCCGGTTCGGGTTCGGGTATTCGATGTCCGGAGCCGAGCCGGCGGACCGACCGACCTGTCGAAGCGTCCGGCGGCAGACACCCGGGGGCTCAGTTGTTTTGCCATTCAGCTTTTCCCGCTCAAAGTGGCAGTGCCTACCTAACCTACCCTGACTTGACTTAACCTAACCTAACCGAGCTCGATCTTTATTCTGCCCCCCTGGTGATGAGAAAGACGCTTTGATTTCTCCAGTGGTGACTCGAACGGGGAACGTTAAAGGAGTGCTGAGGCCTTCACAGCGCTGCTGTGCTGATGATGAGGAGACCGGAGTACCGCTCCGCAGGCCACGCGCCGCGCGCCCCGCCGAGTCGGCAACCCAACGGCCAGCAAGAGGCGACGTGTAGCCCACCCCCAGGGCGCTGCCGAGACGCCGAGTCGTCGATACCCCGCGACCATGCCGCGACGCGACGCGTCGGGAGTGGAGAGGGAGAGGGGTCAGGGTTCGGCCCCCAGGGAGTCTTGTTTTGCACGCCTTCCCTGTGACGTGCCAAGAGTGTGGTCTACCTTCCCGGCGCAGGGTAACTATCGCGACAAAATTGACGTTTCCCGTAACATGAGTTCTGGTGTGGTGAAGAGGCAGTGGACGATGGGCCGCGTACCTTGATGGCGCATGCTCCAATAATTCCTGTTTTTTCGCTGGAAAAAGACTTGTTAGGGCCCAACAGACCTTCACACAATCTATTTGGTGTGAAAATACAGGCTCGGACTGGCCAGGGCAGACGGGCAGAAAAATCTGCCGGGGCCTTCGGGTTTGGGACCAGTAACGTCACAAAGTTGGTCAAAGAGTGATTGAATATCTCCGAAAGTAGCCGTTTTTGCTGATTTTGGGCGGCCACTGCGTCCGATCTAGTCGCCGTAAGAGGCCTCCCTCGACGTCCTAATATTCTTAAGGCCCTACTCTTTCATGCCCTGTATCCGGAAGACGTTGACCACAACGATTTTGGCTTTGACCGCAGCGATTTTCCAACCAAGTTGGTCAAAAAGTGGTCGAATCTCGGGAATTTGCTGATTTTGCTGACTTTGGGCGGCCACTGTGTCCAATCTAGTCGCCGTAAAAGGCCTCCCTCGACGTTCTAGTATTCTTAAGGCCCTACTCTTGCATGCCCTGTATCCGGAAGACGTTGACCACAACGATTTTGGCTTTGACCGCAGCGATTTTCCAACCAAGTTGGTCAAAAAGTGGTCGAATCTCGGGAATTTGCTGATTTTGCTGACTTTGGGCGGCCACTGTGTCCAATCTAGTCGCCGTAAAAGGCCTCCCTCGACGTCCTAGTATTCTTAAGGCCCTACTCTTTCATGCCCTGTATCGGGAAGACGTTGACCACAACGATTTTGGCTTTGACCGCAGCGATTTTCCGACCAAGTTGGTCAAAAAGTGGTCGAATCTCGGGAATTTGCTGATTTTGCTGACTTTGGGCGGCCACTGTGTCCAATCTAGTCGCCGTAAAAGGCCTCCCTCGACGTCCTAGCATTCTTCAGACCCTACTCTTTCATGCCCTGTATCGGGAAGACGTTGACCACAACGATTTTGGCTTTGACCGCAGCGATTTTCCGACCAAGTTGGTCAAAAAGTGGTCGAATCTCGGGAATTTGCTGATTTTGCTGACTTTGGGCGGCCACTGTGTTTAATCTAGTTGCCGGGAAAGGCTTCCCTCGACGCCCTAGTATTCTTCAGACCCTTCTCTTTCATTCCCTGTATCGGGAAGGCTATTGACCGCATTTAGTTTGGGAGCGGTAGCCTCACAAAGTTGGTCATGAAGGGTAAAAACATAATGATGATCGGGGGCCTTTTGCGGTCTTATCCGCTGGGGCCTTTTGGGGGCCAGTCCGATCCTGGAAAACGACATTGCCCGGGATGGTAGTATTGACTTCTGTGGTCCAGCCTTCAATTCTGAACCTTTCATTCGTTTTAGTTTTGGAAGAAATCAAACTCGTATTTTCTTAACAAATATTTATTTTAAAAGAGTTTTAAGTGTAACATAGTGTTGGACATTTTATGCAGGAAAATCCCTGTACAATGCATACATTAACAATATCCATCCCTCTACCATTGAAAAGAAAATAAGAGAAATAAAAATTATAATACAATTTGCAGTTCCTCTTTATACAAATTCATTTTAAAATGTGAGGATTAACAACTTTCAGTATGTTACAAAGGACAAGCACAATAGACGCACATACTGTATTGAACCAAGTAACACTCACATTTTGAACAGCAAAAGCCATGTCTATGCACCTTTATTCAAAAGTATAGAAGGTTCCCCTACCTTTTATCTGATCAGTTTATAATAAATCTTTAGGAAAGGAATGGGTACAATCACTCAACATTATGTTGAAACTGAGGATAACAATATTTGTGCGTAATTATTTCAATGAATGAGACGTATAATTTGATGATGTATTATAAGCAAAGGTGAATTAGTTAATACGATGGAGGAAGAACATCTGGACACATTCAATCTTAAAATCTGACTAGGTCAAAACAATGCCACTACATAAACCCGCAACAACTACTCTATGGTTTGGGAAGAATAAGAGCAAGATGCCACAGCTCAACTCAAAGTTAAAAGAATTAGCCAAAATATCCCCTGAGTAATGCCATCAAGAAGTAATTACATTGGCTTTCAAATTTAAAATTAAGTGTATGAGATACAGTATGTGAGTGTTCATCTAAAATTACATTAGCCCTAATCGAAAGTATTTAATATAAATGAGCCACAGTTAACTAACAGAGTTATGACTCATCTAACTGAATTCACTACAAGTACATAGAAGGAGAAACCTCATACACTATACTATAATTGACGTAACGTTTACACAGTACAAAATTAGTTTTAGACTCTTAAAAATCTATATACAACAAAGAATAAATAACACAGAATGGTCATGAATTTTAACAGTTTGACAACAAAAATAATCATAGCAGAGAGGGGAAACTATCAAATTTTTAGCCTCAATTGGTACTGAAAGTAAGTAGTGTTGCAACAATAGGGAGCTATGTCATTTAATAAAAATAATTAGGTTTTAACCAACTTTTATTCTGAATGGAAAAATATGATTGAATCTTGGTTTTTAGATACATTATTTACATTATATTATACACAGACATAGGAATATACATAAGTATCAAATTATGTATTGTGGTGCTCGTTAAGCTCTATAACAGTTCAATATCAAGTCTCAATATAGCTTCTGGCTGATGTAATGTTATCTATGTGCAATATCAAATGTCTGCACTTCTCAGGTTGATGCCAAAGTCCTTTTATTAAGTCTTTTCATTCAATTCCCCTTAGTATGCTACTTTTTGGCCACAACTTACTTTGGCTTCAACCATAAAAAAATTTCTGTATCAAAATAAATGACTTTAGAACACAAAGTTTTTTTTTAACAAATGAAAAATATCAATGAATGGTAAATATCAATGAAATGAGAATGAAGCCCTTCAACATGAACTTATTTGCCAAGAAGTGCAATTTGTGCAAAACCAATAAATTAATATATCAGAGAAGAATAAGCAAGACAAATATAATCTTAACGAGCTTGATTTCACATGGTAAACTTAACATGACCACATCTGAATTATTACATACAGCATGCAACAGTAACAATGTTTGTAATAAAATAATGGTATCTCGACAGTAAAGAAGCACTATACAATAACGATCCACACTGCACATCAGTGTATTGAGCAAATAAAATGAAAAAACTTCATAAACAACTGAGTTGTGGTACTAATCTCGAGTCAATAGCATTCCACCTTCGTCACCCTGCAAGTTGTCTAATGATATGTTTTCCAAGAAAGGGTCCACTGACATAGCACTTTCAAGAAGTTTTTGTTGGGCAAAATACATGCCTTAGACCAAGTATGCATAAGCGTTTTTGTTGTGTTTTTATGTGTTTTTTTTTCTTTTGCAGAAATTGGGTATTGTGCTTGTTCATAAGAGGTTGGTGACATGAGATACCTCAATGGAGAAAATAAATATATCATGAAGAGATGGATAAACAAAACTCATACAGCTTCAGCACCGAACACTTATGGTTTTTAGGCACATATCACACGCAACACTACACTCACCCAGCTTGCCTGCTGGTGTCGTTAACAAATTTTGCTTGCAGTTAAATGGACGGAATAAATTTAAATTAAATTTGCCCTGTAAATGTGGTAACCCTCAAAAGGCTACCTCACATCAGCAACACCGTACAATTAAGTATGTACACAAGCTTGGCCTACTCCGTACCACCAGCTACTCCCTGCGCCCACGGCCCGGCTGCCGTTTCGCTCGTTTTACTCCGACTGGAATCGAACCCGGTCCGACGGACGCTAGCGCGCCACTGCGGAAGCGCTGGCAGCTGCGACAGCTCTCCAGGGACTTCCCCGGGTGGTCTAGACTCTAAACGTCTAAACTTGGCAAGGGAAAGGGGAGAGGCGGGGGAGGGGCGTGCTTCTTTGCTCTGTACGGTCCAGCGGACCGGGGGACCGGGGGACCGGGCCCACACTACACAACACAGTCCAGGGGCACGCTTCGCGCTTGGCGCTTCGCAAACTACTTCATCCTGTTGAGCACCAGGTCCGTCACGACCAGCAGCCCTTTCTGGTAGGGCGACTCGGCGATCCGCTCCGCCAGCCGCTGCGCCTCGACGCAGTGCTTGCGCGCCAGGAACTGGGTCTGCTCCAGGCCCTGGGACTTGTGCACCAGCTCGAAGGCGTGCTCCACGTCGCCGGGCTCCTGGAACCGCCTCATGATCATGGCGTTCAGCTCCGGGTACTGGAACAACAAAGCAGACACGTCGGATCAAGCCGGCCGGGTGGACGCCGACGCCACCGCCAAACGCGGTCAGTGGGTTAGGTTAGGTTAGGCGAGGGCGGGGCTCGACACTCACCTTCTCGCAGGCGAAGAGCACGGGCGCCGTGGCCAGCCCCAGCTTGAGGTCGGCCGCGGCGGGCTTGCCCAGGGCGGAGGACGAGGCCACGAAGTCCAGCAGGTCGTCCACGAGCTGGAACGCCAGCCCCACGTTGCGGCCGTACTGGAAGGCCAGCTCCGTGAGGCCCTCGTCCGCGCCGGCCAGCATCGACTCCTGCGGCAGAACAAGCGGGGCGTCACAACGGCCGCCATCGGAGATCGGAACGCGGGGCGACGGCCTTGAGTCGCCGCTGATGATGGGGTGCGGGTACTCACCGCCTTGAGGTAGTTGGCGATCAGGCTGGCGGTCTTGCGGTACGTCTTGGTCAGGTAGTGGGTAAACCTCTCGTTCTCCGTCTCCTTGGAGCCGAGCTGCATGAACTCGCCCTGCACCAGGTCCGTCAGCACCTGCAACACGCCATCTAGTGGTCACCACACGCGCCCTACCCCCGCCGCGTCGCGCCGCGCAGGCCCAGCCGTGCTCGTTGGGCTGCCTGCCTCCGGGCGCACGCTGCAGTGCTGCAATGCTGCAGCACCTACCTGTCCCAGGCAGATGGTGACGTCGTCGTTGTTGATCCTGGCGATCAGGATGGACGCCACGGCCAGGATGAAGTCGCCGGACATGGCCACCTGGAAGCACAAGCAGGCGACAGTGTGAGCGAGCGAGGTCGCTGGTTCGAGAGTTCCAGAGTGCTAGCTCCGTTTTAGTTTTATCGGCGGCTGAAGACCGACGACTGAACAATGGCGAGAGAGCCGCAAGCCGGGGCTGCGCGCTACGATACTATGATTAGACGGGGCGCCGACCGCCCTTGCGGTGCCTTTACGACCTTTACGGCGTCGACGTCGACGTCGGCCTTGCGAGTTGCATTGCTTCAATTGCTTTGCGTCGCGTTGACGCGTTGCGTTTGGTTCCAGCCGCGAGCGAGTTAGCGGGTAACGACAGGCGGGCCCCAAGACCCGACACAGGTGCAAATGAAGGCAATGAAGGTGTAAAAGGCGGCGGGAGGCCGCAGTCCAAAGGACCTAGGGACCACAGGACCAAAGGGACCGTACAAAAAGACTGACAAAAGGAGCCCCGCCCATGATTGATGTGATGCGCCTCATCGCCGGGCGGGGTGGGGTGCGGTGCGGCGGGGCGGAGCGTTGCGTCACAAACTTGCTCAGTGACGCGACGGCCGCCCAGGGCGGGGCGGGGCGGGGCGGGTTGGTATTGCCGAGTTAGGTCCGGTCCCCCAGCAGGCCCTCCAGGCCGACAAGTTCGAACCCACAGACAATTGCCTGCCACCTCCTCGAAAATGAACCCCCGCCGCGCCCCGCCACGCCCCGCTCCGTCGACGTGCACGTCGGCGTCATGTCACGCCAGGTGAGTTCCAGGGACTGGTCTCTCGGCAATTGCACAGGTGTCGGACAAGCAGCCGCCCGTCATCGGCAGCAATGCCACCGTCATCAAAAACGAGGAGAAACAAAAACAATGTTCGTATTGCGCCAGTTTGCCAGTTTCCATCCACACCCAGGCCGCAGTGGGGCACCGGGAGCACGAAGGCGGCGACCAAATTCACTCTCACGTCCCGGTGCTGGCGGTGCAGGCCGTGCCGGCGCAGGCCGTGCCAGTGTGGCGGCAAAACAACGCGCAGCACAGCAGAGCGCAGCGTCCCTGGACTATGACGACTTCCATGAAGTCATAAGTGGCCGGGCCTGGCGGGGCGGGGCGGGGCGGTGCGTGCCGGTGGCTTTCTTTGTGCAGGGACCGCGAAGACGAAGACGCGGCGCGGACCCGCAGCGCCCCGCCAAGAGAGCGCGCCCCCCGCGGGGCTCACGGCGCACACACGCCGGGCCAGTCCCCACCGGGCCCCACGGCCACAGCCGCGTGTGTGGTCAAAACGCCGCGCCCCAGCCGACCGACCGTCGCTCTATCTCTCTCGCACCCCTAGGGGACGCCCCACGAGTGCGAGGGAGACAGAGCGACGAAACCACCGTTTCGAGTCAGTCGGCCTGCCAGAGCGTCCCGCCAAAAGCCTGGAATTGGCAGCGGCTCGGGGACGACCGGGACGACCTGTTGCAGCGCTGCGCCCGCGACGGCACGCGAGCATTCGGCTGCGGGGCCTCCACGACGACCAAGACGACGACGACGACGACGAAGACGGCCAGAAATGAAAATTGTGGAGTTGAACTTCGCCTGGCCGCCCCGTCTGCCCCGCCGGGCCGCCCGCCCCCCGCCGTCCCCCGTCCCTTGCACTTTCTCTGTCGGGCGAGCGAGCGGGCAGGCAGGCGGGCAGGCAGCGAGGCAGGTGGCAAGGTGCGGCGCGCGAGGCGCGGCGGCATGGCGGCGGCCTTCTCGTTCCGCGGTATTTTTACAGCGAACCAGCAACAAACAACACCACCAGATGGACCAGCCGAGCCGGACGGGACGGAACGGGGCGGTGGCGGCGGTGGATGGCGGATCGCACGCCAACAACTACTGCACCGGAACACCGGTAGCACACCACACCGCTACACCGGTACTCGAGCCCGGGCCCGCAGCAACAACAACTCTCGCCCAACGCCCTACACGTTAAAAAATTGCAAAAAAAACAACAAAAACAAAAACGCGTGGGGCGCGCTCGGCGGCCGGTCCGCCGCTCCGGCCCGTCAATGGCAGGAAGGAAGCTCCGTTTTGTACTCGGGGTAAATCGGGCAAAGCCGAGGGAGCCGAAGCCTCCGAAGGCACAGCCGAGTGACTGAGTGACGCAACCGGAGCCTCGGCGGTGCTCGGCGGGCACTCGGCACGCCTCGGAGGCACGCGGCGAAAGCGTTACGCCGTGCGCCGTGCGCCGTGCGCTGCACTTGTCATCAGCCATCAGCCCCGCCAGGCAGGCCTTGCCGCGCCGTGCCCGCCATGTGGGGCTCCTCGCCGCCCCGCCAGTGCTGGCAGCACGCTGGCAGCACGCTGGCAGCCAGACCGCGAGCCGCGAGCCTCATGGGCGACGCCGCGGACATTCAAATGCAGAGGAAGAGAAAGACGGGGGCAAGAAAAAAAATGAAAAAATGCGGCAGGCCTCGGCGGTCGGCCTGCTGGCTGGCTGGCTGCTCGGAGCGCCTGCAGCGCGGCCGGGCAGGCAACCCGCCGCGCTGGCCTGCTCGACGGGACGGCGCGCCTCGCGCCGCAGGGGCTCCCGGCAGCAAGGCGGCAAGGCAGCAGCCGAGCCATGCGAAGGACAAGGACCGCTTCGTCGCGCCGCCTCCGTCTCTGTCGCACTTCTAGAGCTTCGCGCGGGGCCGAGAGGGAGACAGCGCGTCGAACGGTTTGGCAGACCGATTCCGAAACTGCTTCTTCGAGCGCTCAGCGGGAGTGCGAGAGAGACAGAGCGACGACCGGTATCCACCTGCACTGCAGCCGCACCGCTTCGCTTTTACGAGTTCGCCGGCTATGAACGCCGCGCCACGCCGCGCCGAGGAGAGCAGCGCTACCGTATTGAGATGCAATAGTCCCGGACGTCCGGCGGCCGCGCGAGCGACAGCGACAGCAGCAGCGCCATGGACGCCATGGAGCCCCAAATCGGCCAGCGGGCCGCGGCGAGGCGAGGAGAGGCCGAGGTCGGCGGGGCCGTGCCGCACCCGCGCCGACCGCGACACGTCACAGACACGCGAACGTGACAGAGGCGCCGCGACACAAAAAAAAGCAAAACACACACACACGCACGCACACACACATGCACGCGCGTGCGCTGGGCAAGGACGCGCGGCGGCACGCGACAGGGCGCCGGGACCGACCGGGACGCCGAGGGAGATGCACCTGTGCGACGTGGGAAACTCATTAACTCATTAATTCAAGACCGCTCTGCGTTTGCGTTCGGACGATGGTGACCGCGTCTGCCGCGTCTAGCCACGCTGGCCTACATCCGAGAGGCCGCCGCCTGCCGCCGCCACGGTCATGCCGCCACGGCCACCGCGCCGCCCGGGTCCTGGCCAGCCGTCTTGGGGCCGCTGGGTGCGGCTGGGCGGCTGAGGCTGCGCCGCTGCGGCCCGGGCCATTATTCCAGATTCGAGGATCCGAGAAAAAGGAAGCAAAGCCAACGCTCGACGCACGCGGGGAGGGCAAAAACAACAACAAAAGCAGAGTCCGAAGCAGGCATAGGGAATTGCTGAGGCTGGCGCAGGCTGGCGCAGGCTGGCCCCGCAGTGGCCGGCGGCAACACTGTTATTTGGGCGCGCTTGTCTTGAGTGCGTGGCGATGCGTGGCAGGGAAGGGCAGGGCTGCCAGGCCACTGCCCACTGCTCAGGAGGAGGCAGCGCAGCGCCTAGGGACCGGCCCACCGGCCCACCGAGGAACCAAGGATCACTAGACGCGGCCTGGGCCGCCCGGACCCGGGCCGGTTGGTTGGGCTGGCCCGGCTGGCCCGGCTGGCCGCTCTTCGATCCGATCCCACTCAAGATCCCACTGCCTGCCCGGGGAGCCCGGGGAGCCAGGGGAGCCAGGGGCTGGCACTTCAAGGACCGCGCCAGGCAGCCAGGCAGCCAGGCGGCGAGGCCTCCAACGTCCAACCGGTCTGGTCCGGGCGGACACTGGCAGACACCTGCTGGGCCTCGGCGGCCCTCGCCGCACGCCGCATCCTGCTGCAGGCGCTGCAGGCCTCCGGGCCGACAATGCGTGCGACACGGCCAGTGGTGACACGACACCGCGGACAAAGTGTCAAAACGGAGGAAGTTCCTCGTCTGTCCGTCCGCCCGCCCGCCAGCCTTAATTGGCCCCCACACTGCAATCGACCGGGATTCCAATTTCTCAGCTCTTACACGCTGGACACTACCAGAAAAAAAAATAGAAACGACTTTTTGTTTTTCAAAGATAACGCTCCCGACTGACAGCCGCTAGCCCGCGCGTCGCGTCGCGTCCCGTCCTTGTGTCGGATAGACACAAAGGCCTGCAAACAACGCATTACTGCGAGTGCTTCGACCCTCCGCTGGAGCTCAGCCGTCACACACACAGTCACACACACACAGCGACATTACGAGGATGAGCGTCGTGCCACGCAATAATGCATGCCGCGCGTCCTCGAACTAGAAAGGGGCCGCGGCACGCAAAAACAAAAACCACGACGACAAAACAATTTAAATAAAGTCCGACCCGAGGGGAATCCCAGAGCCAGTCAATGGACGAGGCCGAAAAGTGGGCAGTGCCGCTGACAAAACGCAGCAGTACGCAGTGCGCAGTGCGGACAACGCGCTCGTCCCGGTCGCACTGTCACACTGTCAGCGCGGCGGCGTGACTGGGCGTGACGAGGCGCGACGTGACGGCCCGCCGCGTTCCCAGCATACGAGCGCGTGCCGAAGCATCGGCACATCGACGCATGGACGCGAGCAGGCAGACCACCCACAGTGGTGTGATTGCGGCTCGTTTTTAGGGGTAGTTTTTTCGGGTAAATTTTTTGGGGGGTTAGACAAGATTTTGAGTAAAGTTCATTAGGGATTAGTTTTTGAACGTAAGTTTTTGGGGGTAAGTTTTTGGGGGTAAGTTTTTAGGGGTTAGTTTTTAGGGGTTGGTTTATAGGGGTTGGCTTTAAGGGGTAAGTTTTAAGGGGTTTTGGGGTAAGATTTCGTAGCAATTTTTTTCGGGGGGTTGGATTACTTTTTGGGTTGTGTTGTTTTTTCGCCACTGGAAGGGGTAAGCTGGAATAACCGCGGCCTCAGCGAGCAGCAAGCGCGCGACAATCAATAACCCAATTACCTCATTTACAGCGACTCATAACGCGGCGAGCGCTCCGATTGCGCAAGGCGGGCCGAGGCGGGAGGGAACAAGAACAGGGAGGGAAGGCCCGGGGGATGGTGCAGAGGATGGCGGCGGTGGCGAAAAACCAGTTTATCGCATGGGCTGCGGCCGTCAGTGCAACCACGCCACTGCAACCGCCACCACATTGTCGCGAGGCGCGCGCCGACAATGCAAGGCCCTGCACTGCGCCGCTGTGCCGCTGTGCGCTCACAATGTGCCCGCATGACAATGACGATGACGACGATGACGACGATGCGACTCGCACCTCGCAGTCCTTGCACCACGGCCGGCACGTCGCGGCGTCGCGGCGAGGACGTCGCGCCAGTTTCTTCTTTCCAATCCGGCTAAATGGCTCCCGGTCATGCGCTCCGGCCCCTCTTCTCCTCCTCCAGGGCGCGCCATTTCTTGCCGGATTGCATTTCTCTGGGGGCGGGGTGGGGGAGGGCAGGGCAGACGCTCCCGGAAACAACAGCGCCACTTCCGGTCGCGCTGCCGGGGGCCATGGCGAGCGCGCGGCCCTACGACGGCCCTACGCCGCCCTACGCGCCACTGCAAGGGCTAGCTCCTTTACCAATTAAGGGCCGTGCCGTGTCCTCGCCCAGCGGCACGCGGGCACGCGCGTCGGCGGGCTAAACGAGTGCCTCAACAAGTGCCTCAACAAGCACCCCACAATGCGCCGCTTAGCGCTTAGCCTTTTCCCATCATTGTTGTTGGCGTAGGTGACTGCGGCACGCTGCGGCACTGGACGAGCTCCAAGCGGCGGGCCGGGGCGGGGCGAGGCGGGGCCCGTGAATGCACACGCGCCGCGTACGTGAGGACCAGCGAACTCCGAACAGAGCGCGCGCCCCGTCGCTCCGTCTCTCTCTGGCACTCCTGCGGGACGCCTCAACGGACGCGAGAGCGGCAGAGAGACGAGGCGTACCTACAACCGCGGCGAGTCCAACAGCGTCTTTTTCACGCAACACGTGGAAGCCTCGCCCACGCGCCGGCCGTCAAGCTGGCCGTCAAGCTGGCCGTCGGGATGGATGGCTGAGGGTGGGAAGCGTGCCGGTGGTGCTGGTGTGGCGATAAGACGGCGCGCTGTCCAGATAAACGCTGGCCATCCTGCCGCGTCGCGCTCCGCACGCTCGGCCGCCGCTTCCACTTCCACTTCCGTGCCGCCCGCCGGCAGCGTGGGGCTGTCCTTTGCCTGTGGGGTGCGGCGCGGTGCGGCGCGGTGCGCATTTCGGATAAGTAAGTCCCGGCGCGTCAAACGGCCCAAACAAATGACGGCCGGACCGCCATCGCCACTCCCACGGCGGAAAGTCGCCGCATGAAAGATTCATGGACCGCCAAGTCGCGTCCAGCGCGGCCAGCATGCAGGATGCGCCGATCGGCGTCGCCAAGTGCATGAGCGCGGACGGCGGACCTCCGCCAATCGGCGCGCAACTTGTCCGCCGTGTGTTTACCAGTGAGAGCGTGCAGTGCAGGAGTTACCGCCGGAACGGCTGGAGTCCCTCTGGCGCGTGCCTGTGGACTGATTCCGAACGGAGCGTCGTCTCTCTCGCACCCCTGCGGCGGCAGGCTCGGTGAGCGAGAGAGCCAGAGCGACGCGACCACTGTCCGGAATCAGCCTGCAGGCCAGACGGAAGGGCAGGGCTTGGCGGGGCTTGGCTGTCCGGTGGCGGCCCGCCGGCCTGGCGGCCCAGGAAAGCGAGAGTGGGCACGGCAAGGGGCGCGGCGGCGCGGGGCTCGGCGGGGACGGTCGCCCGATCCGCGCGGACCTGCGGAGACACCGCCACCCTCGCGCCCTACCGACACTCACCCTGACCGACCCCACGGGGACAAGGCGACCTCGGCACACCGGTGACAAACATCCGAAGAACGGCACGGCGGTCGAGATAGCCATCTCCGCGGAGATACCGGACAACGGTCCACGCTGCCCCGCCACGCCCCGCCACGCCCAGCCGCAGGCAGACGCGACCCACCCGTTACTGCCCGTTACAGCGCAGTAATAATCGCTTCCGGCCGCAACCCTCCATGCCGAACACCGTCGCTGTGTCTCTCTCGCACCCCCACGGCGCGGCGGCGCGCCCCGTGAGGGCGAGAGAGACAGGAAGCACTGCCCGCAGCCAGCGAGCCCGCTGCACGTGGTCGGAAGGTCGGGCCGACACGTGTAGGACACGCGCGGGACAGGCCGCATTACCGGCCTAATACGGAACCGCACAGGGAAAGGTAGCGAGGCACCGCGAGGCGCGAACAAGGCATCCGTGCCAAGGCATTGTCCTTCCAGGAGTCACGCACGCTCACACGCCCACACCGACACTCACACACACACGGACGGCCGAACAAGATCGCCGCCACTATGCTGACGGACGCGCGCCGGACGGGGAAATAGGCGGGAAATGTCGAGGGGCCTCCAAGGCGGAATGTTAACGCCAGGAATTAAAACGCGACCGCGCCGCCATTGTTGCAGTGGAGGGGCGGGCGGCACACCGACGGACAGCGCCTTGACACCGTCGCCGTGCCGCCCGGCGTCGCCTAGCCTCGCGACGGGGCGGCCGGGCCGCTCGTTCGTCCTGACAGAGTGCATCAAGTAAGTGGCACGTGGCACAGCAGGTTGGCAGCTAAAAGACGCACGAGCACACACACACACACACACACACACACACCACACACACGCACACGACCAGGAAGGAAAGTTTGGACGCGTCCCTCGTGTGTGTCGCCTCGCCGCAGACACTGCGACGGGCGCGGGGCGGGGCGGGCGTGAGTTGGGGGCCTAACCAGGGACGCTGGGTCGCGCGCCAACCAGAGAGGACGGCGGCGCGCCGCGGCGCCTCCGGCCCCACCGCCTGCAAGTCTGGAGGCCCTGGCCTAGGCCGCCTAGGCCGAGCTGGACCGAGACCGAGCAGACTGCGTGCAACAATGCGGCCGTTAGCCGCACCGGATGAGCGCTGGACCGCCAAGCTACAAGTCGCGGGTTCGAACCCCACCCACGGCGATGTGAGACTCACCTTCTTGTGGTTCCACAGCACGTTGACGCTGGGCTTGCCGCGCCGGAAGTCGGAGCAGTCGATGACGTCGTCGTGGATGAGGGAGGCCGAGTGCACCATCTCGGAGATCATGGCCACTCTCCTTTGCGCCTCCGGCAGCGGCCTGCAACACGGGCGCGTCCAACGTGGATCAAGTGGAATCGGGTGAAGTCAGTGGCACGCTGCTTAAGTGTATCGTCTGCTAAAGATCTCTTTATTTTGTCGATGACTCCTGCGAAGGCGCACGAAGCACCGATACAAGCAACACAAGCAAAACGCGGCGAAACGTGAGCCTGTCCCCCGCCCCCTCCCCTACGCCGCCTAATCCTTCCGTCACGACGCCGTGCTCGTGCTCCGTGGTCCTCGGGGTGGCGGCGCGGCCCGGCGGCCGGTGTGAGTGTCAAGGCGATTACCTCACGACGGCGGCGGCATTGCCGGCATTGCCGAGCATCGGCTAAGCGGTATCAGCCAAACGGGATTAGGGAGGAATTAGCGCGGGGCCAGGACCGGGCGGCACGCGGCATGGCACGGCACGGCACGCGGCGCGGCGCGTCGGAGAAAGCAACGCCATGCACGCCGCCAGCGCCGCCAGCGGCAGCCCCGCGAATAACCGAGCGAGCCTCATACCGGCGGCGCGAGACGGGACGGGACGGGACGGGACCGCGACGCGACGCCACTTTCTTCAAACGGTCGCAATGTCAAAACATTTCTTTATTGGTGTACTACTTCCCTATCACTTTTTCCAAAACACGATTTCTTTTTTGTCGTCGCGAGGTTCGCGAACCGCTAGATGCCGGCGTTCGAAACCGGCCGACGACGACAAGGCAGCAGCCTGTCCGCCAGGACGACGACGACGTCGTGTCACTCCGTTTCGGCCCCAGTTCTAATTCGCTTGGCCCGGCGCGTGCGCATCACGCGAAGAGGCGCCCAAGTCACCGCCCCCCTCCCCTCCCCCGCCGCTTTCTCCCGGGCACACATAAAACGCCGGAACGCGATATCTGCTAAGGCCCCCCCTCCCCTTTCCCCCGCCGCCACGGCCCAGGGCCTGGCCGGGCCCGGCCGCGCGCCCAGACAACACTTAGCTCCACTTTTTGCGGGCCGCGGCGCCGTGCCATGGCCTGCCATGGCGTGCCATGCCACGCCGCGGTGTTGGTGTCAAATCTGAGGCGAACGAAGAACGACCGACACGCGCGGAGAGGAAGGAGAAAGGAGAAAGGGAGGGGGATGGGTCGCGGCCCGGCCCGGCACGCCGCCGTTTAGACCGTAAACGTTATTGGCGAGTGCCAATTGGCGCCGCGGGGCACTGCTGACTCTGCTGCGTCGCCCCGTCTCTCTCGCACCCCCGGCGAGTCCCTCGAGTGCGAGAGAGACGGAGGCGGGGCCATCGCGGCCACTATTGGCGGGCATTGTAGCGCCGCGAGCCGGCGGGTCAACGACCCCGGACACGGTGTGTGCGACACGCCGACACGGCGACTCACTTGTCCTTCTTGTGGATGTGGAAGTTGAGGGCGTGGCTGAGCAGCAGGCACAGCATGGGTCGCAGGCACTTGCCCTGCCCGTCGAAGTAGTACTGGGCGATGGTGTACAGCTCGTCATGGCTGGTGTGGCGCCGGAGTTCCTGCAACAGCGACACGGAAATCAGCAAAAACCTATGGGGTTGGCGGTGCAGGAGGCCGAAGACGAAGAACAGAGATCGTTGCTCTGCCTCTCTAGCGCCCTCACGGGACGACATGAGTGCGAGAGAGACAGAGCGCCAAAAACAGTTCGGAAACCACCGGCCGCGTCATCGGGGTCACGGCATGTCACTCCGCGCTTATGCCGTAGGCCCAAGCCTGGCACGGCGTTAGTTGTAGCGCCCCCCCCCCCTTTCCGGGTCCCGCCGGCCCGTGACGCATCAAGCCATTCACTCATTCGCTCGCTCATTCATACGGAGGTGAACGGGTCGGCCGTCCGGCGTACGCCGCGCACGCCGCGTCCCGAGCAAGTGAGCAGTGCCTCTCCAGCTCGCTCTCCAGCCACTCCCACGGCGATTCGGCGGCACGATGCTCTCCAGCGGCGGACGACTCACACACACACACACGCGCCTTTGACGCAACGCGCATCGTCATACCGCTCGATCCAGTCGTGCGTGGGAACGCGGGCCGCCGTGTCAAGGCCGCGGCGTCGGGCGGGGCGGGGCGGGGCGGGTCCCACACTCACTCCAGAGCCGCTCCAGAGAGAGGAGACGACTTCCCTCTGGCTGGAGGAGGAAGAAAGGCAGCCATTGTGTAAACGCGGCAGGTGGCGGGGCCCAGGCGGGGCCCTCGCGGCGACCCCGCGGCGGCGGCAGTGCAGGCACAGTGCAGGCACAGTGCAGGCAGAGCGGCCAGGGCGGCCGGGGCGGCAGCGCTGAAGGCGGACCAGGTTCAAGTTCCCACGGCGGCAGGACACGGGCGCGTCGTGTCAAGGGCACGCCGAAGGGACCGTGGCGGCCGCGGAGGGCGGGGCGGGCACGACAGTGGGGGCGACCATCGGCAAAAGACTCGCTTTCTTATCAAGGAGGGGAGGGGAGGAATGGAACGCTGGTTGCGACAAGCGTGCCTAACGCGCGAACGCGCACGCGCACTGCATACCCGTCCAGCCAAGCGACAAGCACGCACGCGCACGCGCGCACTCACACACACTCACACAGACACACACTCGACCTTTTCTATCGCCCAATCGCACACGCGCAGGCACGCGGCGTGTCGCCAAAGCGGTCGCGCGTCGCACTGGGCCAATCTACACCTGTGCGTCGTCCTCGTCCATCCTTCATTCATTGGCTCCTGCGCGCCTCGGCGGGCAGGTGCCGCGGCCACGCGCGGTGCGGGGCGCCTTACGCGGAGGGCCTCGTAGACACGCGCGGCGCCGGACGGCGGCAGGGCCAGGCGGGCGGCGCGGTGTTGGCCGACGACGCCGTCACTGTCAGCACTGCGCGTTAGCGGCCCAGCTCGCCCTGCCTGCCGGCCCTGCTCCCAGCCACCATCCCGCGCGACGTTCCGCAAAAAGTAAAAACGAGGCGCAACGCGCCGCGTGCGTGCTAAACGCGCGACAAACACACGTGCCAAGAAAGAGCGCTCGGCGCCGCCATCGGAGACTTGAACGCAAGGTGGACCAGTGACTCCCGACTCCCGCCACGCCCCGCCGCCCCACCCCGCCATTCCGCCACGCGCCACCGGACACGGACTCGGCCGTCGTCCTCCCCGCCAAGCAGTGCCAGCAGTTGTGTGGAGTTGCATTGGCGACCGTAATAGAGACGGGACCCCAGTCCGCCAGTCCCCGCAGCAGCAGCCGGCTCGGTCCGGGGTCCGGTCCAGGATGACGCTGTCCCGCCACCGCCCCCTCGGCCCTCGCGCCGCCCCGCGCCGCCCCCTCCACGCCACCGTTTCACTTTCAGCGGCGGCATTCCCGACACCAGATCCCGGACGCAACCCCTCCCTGCTACTCCCTGTCGCTGCCTGCCAGCCCGCTTGCCCGACGCGAGTCCACGAGGCGGCCATGAGTCCACGAGGCGGCCCCCATGAGTCCACGAGGCGGCCCCCATGAGTCCACGAGGCGGCCCCCATGAGTCCACGAGGCGGCCATGAACAGGCGGCCCCATGGTAACCCCGGCCACGGGGTGGCGGGGTGGGAGGCGGCTAGCTCGGGGGTAACGCTCGACGAGGTACGCGGCACCGCGGTGTCGGTTCGCCCTTTCCAAAACGCGCGACCGGGGGTGGGCCCCGGCCCCCCAAAAGTGCGCCGGCGGTGGGCCGCGAACGCAGTGCGCGCGTTCGCCGCGTTCGCCGCATTCGCACAGGACGAGAAACAAAAGTGCCGTCGTGCCAGCGCATACACTGTTACTGCACGATGACGCACGTAAACCAACACACTCGCAGACGCGGCCAACGTGTATGCGAACCGAGTCCACTAGAATCTCGCCGGAGCGCTACGCCTGGACACACATGCGCGCACACATGTAACACACACACACGCGCGCGCGCACACACACACACACGCCAACGCCCCACCGGAACTGGGTCAATGGTCGTCCCCAAGTCAGCCGATACACCGTCGGGGCACCGGGCCGCACCAGGCAGGGGTTCGCTCGGAGAATAAAACGAGCGGAGGCTGCCGAGCGATGCCGAACATCGCGTTCGTCTCTCCGTCTCTCTCGCACTCACGGGGCGCTCCGTGTAGGCGAGAGAGAGAGAGAGAGAGAGAGGAGAGAGAGAGAGAGAGAGAGAGAGAGAGAGAGAGGAGAGAGAGAGAGAGAGAGAGAGAGAGAGAGAGAGAGAGAGAGAGACAGAGAGAGGGGGGGAGAGAGAGAGAGAGGGAGCGACGACACGCTGCGTGGAATCAGACTGCGCTGCACACAACACATGATGCCGCAATCACCCTTTTCCCATCGCTGCAATTCCCCGTAAACCCCCAAAACAAAAAAGCAAAACATTCTCTTTTTTTACCGCATATCCTTCCCACGCCGCCCGCAGCCCGCAGCGCCGTTTTTGTTTTGTGTGGCTTCGCACCAAAAGGCACGCCAATATTTTCCCGCCCGCGCCACGCCAGCAGCGCAGCAGCGGCACGCCGCCACGCGTTGTCGTTTTCCTTTTCGTTTTAATTTCGCCAACATAACACGCAACATAACGCAAGCAGGCCGCCCCGCGCTCCGGCCGTTGTGTCGCCGCGTCGCCGCCGCGGCCGTCCCGGTGTTAAACATTTCCTCATCGCGGGCCTTTTTCTTTCCACGCGCGGCCGGCGAGGGGCCCAAGGGACCCAAGGGGCCCGGCCCACCGAGGACCGAACAACGCGGCCCAATATTTATCAGGCGAGGCAAACAGACGAAACAAAACGGCGAGAGGGGCCTTTTGGCATGTTGCAGGGCGGCGAAGCTCTCGGCTGCCTGCCAGCCCTGCCAGTCCGGCCGGACGACCAGAGGGGGGAGTTCCAACCAATGCATTTCCAGGTGTACAAACATCTCGCAGACGGAGCGCGCTGCAGGCCATTTTTCATAAAAGTGAAACGATGACAAACTGACTGCGACGCCGGTCATTTCATTTGGCTCAAGTCGCTGGACGACAGGTTCACAGGTGCACGCGGACGCCGCGGAACGCACCCAGCCTCTCTCGGCCACGACTAACCCGCGACGGCAGTGCCGCGGCACGGCGACGACGCACAAGCTCGGAGGAATTCCCGACAGTACCGCCCAGTGTACCGACCGAGGAAGGGCCGGCGGCGGCAACACGGCAAGGTTGTCTGGTCGGCGGCGCGGCAAGGCGCGCGGCGGATTCTCGAGTCAGATCACTTTCGCAACACACCAAATCATCGCTCGCCTGCCGTAGCCTGCCGCCGCGGCGAGGCGGACTGGGCGGGGCGGGGCGGGGGGGGCGGGGCGGGGGGCGGGGGGGAGAGGGAAAGCGCGCGGGACGGGAACCAGGCGGAGCAAATGAGCCAATCAATGGACGCGCCCGTCGGCTGGCCGCAGGCAGGCCCGGCGCACGGGGCGGCGCGGCGGCTCTGCCTGCCTGCCGGGCGCTCTGCCGGCCTGGCCCACCCTGGCCGAGGCCCCGGCCCTGGCGGCCGCTCACCTCCTGGATGTCGAAGTGCACGTTCTTGAGGTCGTCGTCCACGAGCTGGTAGGGGTCGACGCGGTACTCGGGTAGCGATCCAGGCTGCTGCGACCGCACGGAGCTGAGCAGGCGGCTGCCGGGAACGGCCGTCTGCAACACACATTGAAACACAGTTAACTCGAGTTTGGAGTGATGGCTGGGCCGGCAGGGTAACAGGAAGCGGCCACCTGGAGAACACATTCAAACGCCGTCAAGTTTGGGGTGACGGCGCAGTAAACGGCGGGCGGGCGGCCAAGGCTGCCAAGGCCGGGGGCCGCGCCTGGAGGCCGTCAAGGGCAAGTTCGTAACCGCGGCGCGGCGGCGCGGCTCGCGGCGGCGACGTTCGGGACGCAGGCAGGGCGAGGCAGGGCGAGGCAGGGCGAGGCAGGGCGAGGCAGGGCGAGGCAGGGCGAGGCAGGGCGAGGCGCAGGGCATGCGGGTGGGCCGCGAGGATGCAGCGGTCCAGGCGGTCCAGCCTGCCGAGGACTCGGGACGACCCAACGGCCTTCCCCCTCCAGCCGCATCCAGCCGGGTCACTCCAGCCGGGCCGGGGCCCAAGGCCCAAGGCTGCAAAGGCTGTGGGTGTGGAGCGACAAGGAGCCCCCTGCCGCCCTGCCGCCACGCCGCCCTGCCCCCGGCGCACCGAGTGGACAAGTCCGGAATGTGAAAGTGGGTTCCTTTTAAAAGAGCATGTCCCAAAACAAAGGCGCGACGTCTGCGGCCGAAGACCGAGGACGACGAGGACGCCGAGGACGGACCGGCGCACCCAGCACCCAGGGCACCTGCTGCAGCGAGCGCCGGTACTCGGGGCCCTGGAGGCCCAGCTGCAGGTGGGAGGTGGGTGGATGACCCTGACGGCGCGGCTGGGCTTTCAAACGGCCTCACAGTGGACCAGCTCGCCGTCATCGACGCGTAGTCCCGCCACTGTCAAACCTGTCCAGAGGAGCCTGGTCGCCACGCCGCCACGTGGGCACCATGGGCACCGGCAGCGGCAGCAGTCGGCGCAGGCGGGGCAGGCCGGGCATGCCGCCTCGCCACACCCTGTTCCCTGTTCCGTTCCGGAGCGCGACGTTTATCCACTTTCGTAATGCGAAGTGACCCCCACGACGGCGAGGTGCTCCGGCCGCCTCGGCGTGGCCAAGCCGGCCGTCTGGGGACTACCGGTGGGCGAGACTACCGGCTGCGTCGGACCGCGCCAGACCGCGCAGGCCACCCACCCCGCCAAGGCACTCGCTGGCGTTCCGGAGCGCCCCATCTCAGATTGCACTATCAGAGGCGGGCGTTTTACCGGCCAGGGCTACAGCCACTACACTGCCACGGCGAGACAGAGCGGCGCAGAGCAGCGCGACCATTTTGGAGAAAGTCACGTCAGTCAGGCCGAAGCGCGGCGGCACCCTGTGGCACGGCGGCACGGCGGCACGGCCATGGTAGGCCACGACATGGCCCCATGGGGCTTTAGGGGACGCGGCGCGTAACTGCGCCCCCAGTGCCTCGCAGATGCGGCGGTCTGCCCGCGCCCCCGGCCCGGCCACTCGCCCACTCGGACGCACACCGTTGGCTTTGGGCCCGTCCCGGCCCGTCCCGGCCCGCCGCTGCAGTGCGGCCGGTGCGGCCAAATACCACTGGAAAATGGTTCAGTCTTCCAGGACTCCAGCCGAGCGAGATCCGCGCCCACCAAGTGCACGAAGGCTCACACGCTCCCACGGTGCACCGACCGGGACCCACCGGGTCTCCGACCGGGTCCCCGACGCGCCGTTGCATCACCGACCTGCTAGGGCCAGCCCAGGGCAGCCCAGGGCAGCCCAGCCCCGCCTTCCAGCCCGGCCGATAAAAGGAGTAAAACAAGAATGGGCCCCGCCGGGCGGCGCGGGGCTGGACTGCCTCCGGCTGCCTTAGGCCCTTTCTTCCCCTTCCCCCAGATTGGCCCCAAGGTCGGCTCGGCCCTCGGCTGCCCTCGGCTTGCCGGGTAGGGAAAACCTGTTGGTCCCCAAGGAGCGCCGTGTGGCGGTGCGGCCGGCAGCGGCGTAGCCGACGCCCCCGCCCCGCGACCCCGCGACCCGCAGCACCGCGCAGCACCGCGCAGCACCGCGCAGCACGGCCGCCTTGGACAGTGGCGACACGACGTGCAAGCCACCGCGACCGCAGCCCGCAGCCCGCACCGGTCCAAAGCTGGTCCAGAACCAGTGGCGCAGCCTGGGTGCAGCCCCGACCACAAGCACCCCGTCGCCGCGGAGCTACGCCACTGTGTTTACGCCCGGCTGCGGGTGGCGCGGGGTGGTGGGGGGAAGACGCTCCGGCCGCCCCCATACACGGCGCCTAGCCAGCCTGAGCCAAGGCGCAGCCAAGGCGCAGCCAAGGCGCACCGGAGTAGAACATGATCTAGCCTGGCAGGGCCGGGCCGGGCCGGGCCGGGCCAGGCCGCCGGAGAGGACAGCACGCTTCCCCTTCCTCGGGCGTTGCCTTGGGCCTTGCCTTGGCGTTGCGCCACACACTACCCCCACCCACGCCTTCTTCTTTCTCCCAGGGTCAAATGCTTTTCACGAAACACGACGGAGCAGCCAGCCAGCTTCCGTCCAAACACCGCCTGCAGATTCCAGGCAATTCCAGGTGTGACGAAGATGCTACGACGAGCCGCGGAGCGCTGGACCTGGAAGCCCTGGAATTCTGGAAGTCAGGCATCAACGCGGCCACGCGGCGCGGCCCGCCCACCGGAGTCTGGACCTCTGGAGTCCCGGGGACAGGACAGGTTGCGGCGTGGCTCGGCTCGGCCACCTCGGCGCTGCGCCGGACCGCGCCACGCCGCAGCGCGCCACGCCACCGAGCACTTTCACTGTACTGTGGACTGTGGACAAGCCCGAGCACAACCGGCGGCCACGCACCTTGCGCTGCTTCGCGCGCATCAGAGGCTCATCGCCGCCACACGCCGCGACGCCCCGCGAGTGCGAGAGAGACCGGCTCTGTTCGGGAGGGACAGCGCGGAGCTGCAGGCCGCGGCTGTGGCCACAGCCTTCGGAAAAATGAGCCGTTTAAGTGCAGGGCTGGACGGCTGGATGGGGTGGGAGCGCGTACGTCAGCAATTGGCCTTGGGGTGCCCGCCACCGCCACCGGCCTCGCCAGTGGCGTGCCCCGCGTGCCAGTGGCGTGCCAGTGGCGTGCGGTCCGGCGGCCGGCCGCGAGGCAATGCACTCGAGCCGCGAGTCGCTGGGGCCGGTGGGCCGGTGGGCCGGTGGGCTCAGCCAACTGCGTCGACCGCGTCGCTGGAAACCGGACGCGGCGCCCAATCCTGGAGAAGCGGGCTGCGGGGCTTACAAGCAGGCCGGGCAAACTCAACATTCACTGAGGTTTTGGGTGCCCGTAGCTCGTAAACTGCTGGAGACAAACAGCTATACACACGCTCTTAAGTTTAAAATTTAATTTCGAATTTTAGTTACCATATGCATAACCTTTTGATCCCTTGCTGTTTACGAGAAAGAACTCCAAAAATCTCAAAAACTGACAAGTAGGCCCTGACTTACTCTAGTGAGGATGAGCCGGGCGACACGGCCGAAACCCAAAATTCACTACGCCGCCGACTCCCGAGGGCTGATTCCGAGCGTGGGTCCCAGCGCGGTCTCTCTCGCACCCACGCAGGGCTCCCCACGAGTGCAAGAGAGAGAGAGAACCGCCGCTGTGAATCGGGGCTGCAGCCAGCGCTGCGTGCAGTGCACTGCAGTGCAGACCCAGTACCGGCCGATCGATCTAGCCGAGGCGACGTTCGGACAACCCGCCAAACCGGCTGCTGCTCCGTGGGACAACGGACCAGATGGACGGCCCGGCATGCAGCACCGTCGCGGTCGGGCCGCCCGGGTCGCCCGGGAACCGCCAGGACGCCGTCAGAACACCGCGGTGGAATCCCCCCTCCCCGCGCTGTAAAACCAAAACCTCAACAGGCCGAGCGCGTCGGAGAAAAACCACCCCCACAAAGGCGGGTGACCTTAGAGCTTCGTCGCTCTGTCTCGCTCGCGCCCATCCGTGGTGCCTCATGAGTGCGAGAGAGACAGGGCGATTAGGCAGGCCAGAGGACCACCCTGCGCCGTTTGTCGCAGCGGCCCCGCATGGGCCACACGCAGGGTGGCAGGGGCGCGCACGCACAGTCGCATCACCTAATCCCCGCCGACTGGTTACCCTTGACATCGGAACGGAATCGGCGCAGAGAGCCGCCGCCGTAACCAAGACGATGAGGGCCCCGCCGCCCCGCCCCGCCCCGCCCCGCCGCCCCGCCGCCCTCCCACGGCGGGGACCCCCGCGCGCCGCAGCCGGCCACGGAGTACTCGGGGCAGCAGGGCGGCACAGCGGCGACAGCGGCACACGGCGCAGAGCAGAGGCCGCGGAGGCCATCAGCGCCGCGACGGTAGCGACGGTCGCGACGCGAGACGTCGTCATGGCAGGCATGGCGCACCACAACGCTCACAACGCCGCCCCGGTCTCCGCGGCCTGCCCGGCATGCCAACAGCGCACTCTGCCGAGGAATCCGAAAATAATCGGAAAGGTCGCTGCGTTTCTGCGCGCGATCGCGCGTGTGTGTGTGTGGTGTGTGTGTGTGTGTGCGAGTGTGTGTATGTGAGTGTGCGCGCGAGTGCGTGAGTAAAGAGTGTGTGTTCGTGTGTACTAGAAGGGGGACATGACAGCCCGGGGCGGACCAAGCCATACAGGGGCGGGGCAGGCGGGGCTGGGTGGGGCCCAAGGTGAGCATATAGCGGTGGACCGCTGCATATCACAGCAGGCCGTTTAGTCGGCCAGTCCGTCCTCGCTGCCGCCACGCTGCCCGGCTGCCCGGCCGTCGGCCCCTCCAGGCCTCCACTCCGGCAGTCAGCCGGAGCGCCTGCGAAGTCCGGGGTAGGCCACCCTCAGCACCCCTATAAGGCACGGGTAGGCAGCAAGGCAGACAGCCCGCCTGCAAGTTGGCAAAACGAGTGTCATGGCATGGCAGGGCTAACTTCCTACTGTTTTTCTGGAGCCGCCCCACCGCGTCGCCGCGCCGCGCGCGCCTCGGGGGCCGGCACCCAGCAGCCACCGGCCCGCCAGCCGCCCCGCCAGCAGCCCCGCCACGCCCGCCACGCCCGCCCCGCCGG